AAATTCATCAAAACACGCTACAAGTTGTTTTCAATATTTAAATTTTTATTGTATGACATAAACATTTCTAATATTTTAATACCTCCGTTTTCAAAATCAATACACTTCATGCCAAATTTTCCAAAGATTTCTTTTCCATTTTCGTTGCCACTTTTAACCATCCAGCCCGCCTCTATTTTTGAAATTAAGTTTTAGAGATGAAAAGTCGGCAAAAGTATCTAAAATTTTCAGAACATRTAAARAGGCTTTTCTATCTTTCAAGAAAAAGGTAGTATCATCAGCTACGCAAGCGCTTGATAATGCATGGGACATCATAGTTGTCCTTCAACAAAATTGGTCTATAATGAGAATCAAAATAACAATGGTTCCTAGTTCCTAATAGCTCCTAGTTGATAACTACTAAGAGATGTCTTCAATAAGCAAATAACTTTGTTATCTGCCAAAATATTTGGAAGATTGGTTTTCCTCTCCACCACCTGCAAAGGTTAGTTTGAAATATTTTGATAAGATTTGGTGACAAATAAAATAAAGATATATAGAAATACCGTTTATGTTATAACTACTGGACAAACGCACTTTATATTCTCATGAAGGTGGTAGATATACGGCCAAAATACGGAAATTCGTTATCAATGTAGAGTTTGCTTTTTTGCAATCAGTGCACGACAACGGCATATTGATGGTAAAAAGTGTAGATATTACAAATGTGGCCAGTGGATRCCTCGTTTTGGTTCTCCTGTCCTAATTCTCTCTCGGTCATTTTGGAAATGAAATCAGCAACCGGTTAGCGTCAAGTGCCTTCGACAGAGATCTAGAGACCAATGCACGCTCAAGCTTTAGTTTTCCCTTATATATTCTGTGTAGAAGTCTGTTGGTAACATTAGYGAGGYGCAGAGTGAGGCAGGTGCTGGTGGAGTRTAGACGCCGTAAACCAGATCTGGTGACCGTAGATACGGTCCATYAATAAAACCAAACACGTACTATATATTCAATACAAGCTGATAAGAGCTTCTATTCGTCTACTATATTTTATTTTTTGTATTCCATAAGTGTGGAAAAGTGTGATGGTTTCGTCTGTAAAACGACGGGCCCAAACGCGTATCATTTAAATACATGCGGTTAAGAATGTGTCTGCTGGTGAGTGATAACTCGCTCTCGGGAAACCAGGTAATCTTCTGTCGCCTGTTCCACGAACATTTCTCGAATCAAGGAACGAGTGACATGCACAGAATTACCCCTTAGTTCCCGAGGATGGTTTAAACCTGGCCTCGGRGKACCTCAGAGAAAKTGTCCTTGTTACCTCATTCAAATATCTTTCTGTCTACATAGAAACAATACACAAAGTACATACTCCAAATACACATCGTGATACTAACACTGGACCTGTCTTGTATTGACGGCTTCTATAATATTTTCTATTWTTTTAATTCAATTTTTGACAAATCTTTTGATTTAGAAGAGATGGAAAGATGACCTATTCGTCAATGAATGATACAACATAAATACCATATGATTCTAAAATTAAGGTTACGATAACGCTTATGATAATGATATTATCATATGCTAGTGTTTCATATGCTTCAACCCACGATATAAAAATAGACTTTAAACACAAGTACCCAACCTATGCGTTACGATAAAGAGCTATCATATCAAAACGTGAAAATAATTTAGTTTATCAAGATGGACCCAATTTGACCTCTAAAATAGAACATTTCATTTATATTCAATGTATACCTTGAGTTTACATAGTACATAATATAGTACATAGCTTGAGTTTACCGAAAGCTATTTTCTTAATTGTCAAAAAGGTTAATTTTAATTGATTAGAGCTATATTAACATAGAGGACGACGTCCTTTGACAGCAATTCTATTTACGGCTGCTATGGTTATTAGCATTCAAAATAATCTRTTTAGAAAGCTGTGACTCCTTTACAATTATTTCTGCCTTAGTTAGTAGTTCGTTATATTTTTCTTTGCTGCAATATTATGATCGTTTTGAGCTCCAGTTTTTTATTCGATGCAATTCCATTTACATCTTCGTCCCCTTCATCTCGTGCTGTGCTTGTTTTACTGACAAGATCTTTTTCTTTGTGTTTTGTATGTGAGCTTCAATTTCTACTTCTTTTCTTTCCAACGTAGCCTGCTTTGTTTCCTTAGCTTGGAATTTTCTCACAGCTTCGGAAAGCTGTTCTCTTAGCTCATTTATCTCTTCCAAATACTCTTCGTCGCTTTTCGGCTTRTAGTTGAGTGACTCAGTACGTCGCGTTTGTTCTCTTGAGCGTTGAATTTCCTCAAAATGTTCAATTCTTATGCGTGCCTTAAGCTCTCGCTTCTCAGCCGCTTCAACTTTAGCTTTCAGAGAGTCTATCTTTCTATTCTTSGTGACCATTTCYTCAGCGATAGTTGCTAGTCGTTYCTTTGCCATCTCCATTCGCTCGTCAAAAGATGGAACGTCAATTCTATTGTGTTCTAAACTCTGGCACATTTTTACGTTCTCTTCGTATCTCCTCGAAGCTACAAACAACCTCTCCTTAATCCACTCTCGTTTAGTTTCAATCTTGTCTATTTTTGTATCAATTTCTTGCATTTTGTCGCGTATGGCGTACTGATTATTTACAGCAATTCTTTCCCGCGCAAACTCCTCCCTAGAAGCCATCTTTGTAGCMTTGGTTTGCTCGTCTGTTGCCCTAATCTGCTTCGTTAGTTCCAYCATTTTCTCTTTTATATTGCTGAACGTTTTGTTGATCACAGGCATGTTACCACCACTCACAACCGACGCCATTGTTTACTAAGATCTTAGTTGGGAGGACAAGTGCTTAAGTCTGTAGTCTTAATACTGTGACCCCGCGTTGCTCTTTTTCACCACGCTATTAAAATGCACTTGTACTGTTGATCACGTGACTCGCCMTGCAAAATGGCGTCGTATTGGAACGCATCAAGATAAGCTATGTCATTATGGTCAAGTTTAGAGCATTTCAAAACGTGAAAAACATCAAAGATATCTTCCATACAACTCTTAATAGGATTGTTTATATGAATTACTGAACTCAGCTTATAAAAATGCCTGGCTTTTTGGGAGAACGAAAACATATGAGAGTATGTCATAATGAGAGGCTATCAATAGGCAGCCTTGGTGGGGCGCACACGATCTCATAAAGGTGATKTCTAGTCTCACTAGATTTTGACATTCATGTGTAGTGGAATAGYGACCAAAAAAGACCGACATAATGGAAAGAAACCTACTTCAGCAACTGACTTCTTAAGCTGGAAATTTATTTTAAATTTATTTAGCCGGTCAGCAGAATTTCATGTTGCTCATAGTGGCGGAGTAACTCAGCTTAAGAAATTTCAGTTTACTAGCGTTTTATAGATAGAAAAACGTAATTGGCCGTTCGAAATGCCAAACATCACGGGTGCCGAATCTAATGTAATCGCTCCAGTGCCATTATTATCTCGTTGAACTCTATATGTGTGAGGTTCGGCGTTCTTAAACGRTTTTAGAGTGATCTAGAAACCATTCAGATCCAGCTTCACCTTGATATCAATTGACCCTTAGCACTATAAAGCACGTCAAGCCAATACATTCTATTTATAACGATAAGAAATATGATTGCACAAGAGACATCAAAACGTAAGATTTAATGTTATCTTTATTTAACGTTTTAAAATARGCCGTTTTGAAAATAAAATTACACTGTTCAGTGGTGTCAAAAACTCCTCTCAGTCGATTTCTCTCTTMAAATGCGATTAAAAAGAAAAGAAAGAAACATCAAGAATAAAGCTTGGCCATAAAACCACAGGTCGTCCAAGAATTTTCAGTCTCTTTGTTCTCGGTCCCAATCACCTTTAGAAGGACAAGGAACGCCTGGCTGCGCAGGCTATGCAGAATGCAACGTATTTTTAGCAATCGGAATGGCTAAAAAATAGTGAAATTTTGCTTTAGTCGACTCCAAAATAACAACTAACCATTTCAGGCTCTCAAACTAGTTCATTGGTAATCTCAAAACTATTTTCTTGTGAATAATAGAATACTACCCTTGACACTATATTCTATCATTGAAGTAAGTTCRACCTTTTTAAAGCACTATACACTATGCAAGGGAAGGTACGTTTATATTACTGGGGAGGGAGGGCTGGAGATTTCAGAGTAATTTTTCCATAAGAATGTGTGACCCTCCACAGTAATTCTAAAACTAAACTTTTGACCCTCCCCTCAAAAGTTCCAAAAATACTGATGGCCCTCCCCCCACCCCATGCTCACACTTCTCAGGCTATACATGAAAAATTGACTCGATGATATAACATTTTTTCTTAGCTGAAACCTAAAAACTAGGATAACCCTCCCCTAGATAAGCTTTCGAGTGAAGATGTGACCCTCCCCTAAAGCTTGCAAAAATGATATATGACCCTCCCCACTCCCACTCCAGCCCTCCCCCAATAATAAACGTACCTTCCCTAACTATTTGAAAACACTATGACGTCTTTATAAATGATTAAAAAGTATTATTCATGTTATCAGTGAATAGAGCCCAACGCTTTGCTGTTGAATAATAAAAACAATAGAGTAGTCGAATCGAGGGCATAATGCGGTAATTGTTGCCCGCAGTAACTGGATATTTCCTGAAAACAAGTCTCCCGAGAACGCAGTTTAATCTATTGCTTAAACTACAAATAGCAATAGATGGATAGAGTGAAAGCACTTAATCCGTAAAGCTTGAATAGTGCAAAATAGTAATAAACTATGCTAATTCCTTTGTTTTTAATTGTCTAATCAATACTATTTAGTAGTAATTAGTACTATTTGTTTCACGGTTTTAGTACGTTAACTCTRCAAGCAATAATTCATTAAATTAGCGTTGTGACGAAGATTCAGAATCTGGTGAATCTTTGAAAGAAGATGAAGAGCAGTAGGATGAAAATTCAGAACCAGAATATCTRGAAGAAAGGACAAATGCCAAAAAACCATTATGAAATCCTCGTTTCAATATGATCTAGCTGCACAATTTGTAAACTTGAATTTCCTCTGAATTATGATACTATTACTTGAAGGGAGGGGAGGGAGTGTAACAATTGTAATACTCTCAGTCATCCACGAAAATATTTCTTAAGTTGCAATGTAAAAACTGATGAATTGAACATAGGTAGGTACTCCCCTATATTTGCTATACGGTTATGTGTCGCTGGATAGGGTCTAGGATAGGGTATCATGTTTTGCCCATCTGTCTGGGATAGGGAAGTCTTTTTGTCTGGAAAAGGGTAGTTTTTTGTCTAGGATAGGGTATAGTCTCATTGTCTGGGATAGGGTAGTAGTTTTGTCTGGGATAGGGTAGCCTTTTTGTCTGGGATAGGGTAGTTTTTTGTCTAGGATAGGGTATAGTCTCATTGTCTGGGGTAGGGTAGAGTTTTACCTGTGATCCTATCTGCTAGGCCACGCCTTCAGCGCTAAAATAATGTACCTTTGTACCTTTAGTCTGGAGTAGGGTATGTAAAATAAAAATAAAAAAAAAATGGTGTGAGACAGGTTAAGGGTTTTGAGGGCCGTGCGTTTTCCACATACCAAATAAATTCACAGTAGAGAGATGAGGTAAAGCTTGAAAGCCATCGCTTTAGCAAATGAAACTCCTTTAGCTTGTGATCTATTGCCTCATAACAAGCATAAATATTAATCGCTTCTAAGTACAGTCAATTGCAGAAAATARTAACTATAACCACATATCATTTTATAAATATATCAGATGCATTGTGGGTAATGCATACGTGATCTAAATTTACTCAAGTGAGTCGCGTGTGAACCGGGTGTAAACGTCCGCTTTCTCCAAATACAAGGGAACGACTGATATGACCGTTTTTGATGAGTCATGAGTTATACCGCATTTGATCGTAAGGAATTATAATTTGAGAAAGCGGTACCATGGATTCAACCGAGTAATTATCAGTATATTGTCTACATGATCTGTTCCAAGCTTTCTATATTTTTCAGCTTTTATTGATCTCCTGCTATGACAAAATGAACCATACTCAA